GTTGCCTGGCGGTGGTCCAGAAGCGGTATTGAGTGCAGTTTCTTTTTGCCTTTAACTTTTTTTTTCATGGCTAGTACTGGTAATTCTTGCAGGTTTTACGGTTTACTGTTGAAAGAGGCGTTGGTGACTGATTAGGTTCACTGTAGTCATGTCAGGATCGGCCCCTGAGGAGCCTCAGACCTCCATTCCTCCCAGCACAGCCAGCGTTGCCGATCCTGCGCCGGTGGCTGGTGGACCTGGAAGCTCAAGTGACGTTTCCTTTGGTGAGCAAAACCTTAGCTTCACCACCACAGACGTCAGCCTGGTGGAGATGATGGAAATTGAATATACCCAGCTGCAGCACGTACTTTACTCGCACACGGAGGCACAAGTGGGTGAAGGTGAAGTGGAAGCTAGGCTCAATTCTTTCTCCTCGCCTGGTAATGCTGCAGACGCCGCTCTGCACCAGACCTCACTCAACACCACTCAGGAGGGGGGTTCATCAAACAGCTCTGGGAACCGGTCGGTTTACCCAGTTGCCTGCCAGTCAGGATTACCTTCTGACAGCAGTGTGCCAAGTTCAAACCCGCGTTTGGGCTATGCTGACTTTCAGGAGCTCAGAATGATGTTTCTTAGTGAGTCTAACCTCCCTTTGAACCGAGCAGATAAAGCGTCTCATGGTAGCTCTGTAGAAGTCCCAGAATACAGTTTAGTAAAAGTTAAACATGGTGAAAATTTTGTTGGGGCGAATAAAGAAAACATACTTGTTGAAAATTCGGCACTGGCGCCAGAGCCTAGATCTAAATCTGCAGTCAGAGTTCGGTTGGAAGACAGATTCAACAGCATCCAGACAGAAAACCCCAGATGTCAAGAACCCCAAGAATCTGGAGTAACTCTTAACAAGTGTGTTGCAATTAATTTTTAGTTTATATTGTTAAACTGTGTATCATCATATAGTTCAAAACTGATTTTCTACCCGAAACCTAAGAACAGTACTTTTTTTTTAATACATGGGGATGATCGATTGGGCTTTTTTAAGCTGTGCCAGTCAAATGTGGCTGCAGCTCCACTGACCTCAGATTAGGCCCCTCTCTATATTGCATAAATGTCGTTCCAAAATTAATTACTTTACAACTGTGTTCTTGATAACAACATGCAATGTAAATAAAGGTTTGAGAAGAACGTTACCTAGTTTTAACATGCAAATTGCTAAAAGCAAAGTAGATTTTTGATCACAATAAAATACTAAGAGCAATTGATTAGTGTTGTAGTGTGGGGGCCTGACTACAGGGAAAACTTTGAGCAAAAATACTGTTTTACAACTTGGCCCTGTACCTGTGTATTAGTGTGCTGATAAAACATTTTATTGAGGCATAAAGCTGAATTGTTACTGCACAGAACAAAATACCTTCTCAGCTGATTTTTTTTTTTGTCCCTGAAGTAGGCAATATGGCAATAATAATGATTTCTGTTTACAGTAAATGAAAGTGGTTTCTTGGTGATAGTTACTACAAGTATGTGTAGCTGTAAATTTTTCTGCACTCATTTTCAAGTATTCAGTCTGGTATGTTTTCTATGTTGTTTTTTTTTTATTTTAAGTTTAGTAACATTGATTCGACAGCCGTCAGAACTGATAGGTGTTCCTCTTCATCAGCAAGAAAACAAGTGTGCTGCATTAGGGAAAAATAAGACTGTATCTGCCACGCCATCTTTACAGTTCACATACCCGTTATTTACTATGAATGCGTGTTCTACTGCTGGAAGTGCTAATCCTTCACAAGCACAGGTAGATAACATCTTCACCAGTAGTTGTACTCTGCTGATTTCAAATGCTAATAATATTAACCTCTTAGGTGTAATACAATTCCAGAGGTTTGTGTTAAAGTGTGACTTGGTTTGAATAGGGATGATCAGAATGATCTGTAATGCAATTTATTTATTCTTATATTAATCTTTCAGGCCATCAAAAGTAATTTGCCACACAAACCAGTTTTTTGGCAGTTACGTTATTTGTAATAACATCCATCCAGGTGATGATCAATAGGCCATTGGGTTTCTTACTGGAAGGACATTTTTCCTTCAGTTTATCGGTGTATTTATCTGCTTCATCTATGCAAGACAAGAAGGAGACACTTAGATGGTTCCTTTTTTTTCTAATTAATTTTGTTGAAAGAGATTTCCTCCCCAACTCGCAGTAACCTCTGAAGCAAGAGTGGTGGCATGGCACTCAGAAATGTCAGAGGTATCCCGAAAAAATGCAGCAGTCTGTTAAAATCCTATGGTTGTGGTGTAATTGTAATTGGGATTTATTCTGATACAACACATTGAATCACAGGGCTAAAATATAAGAAGTTAACATAAATATATCAAAATAGTCTCTTTTTTAGATATATAGTCCTCTAAGTATTTCTTTGCTAGTTTTCACAGACCTCTGGAACGTCTTGCACTGTTTTGGAAGCTGCCAAACATCAAGACCTTGGGGTACCCAAGACATTCTCTTTCTGCTATCAGGAAATAGAATCCACAAAACAGACAGTAGGTGCTATGAATAAAGCGTTGCCTGAGGAAGTTTGGATTAAAGTTGGAGGTAAACCATTTATCTTCTTTTCACTTAGCTTTCTCTTGGCCTTCAAATCTACTTTTTTTTTTTCTGAATGTTTGTGTTTTTTAGAAAGAATATGATTTTAGTGAATCATATGAGGTGTGAGTTTTATGTCTGAGATGTGCTCTAGGCAGTATGGGACTAGATTTCTCCAAAAAAGTGCAACACCTGTGATTTTAGCTGTACTTTCAAAATTGTTTTGCACTTCTAGCTTGAAATGAGAAAACCCAAGGTTGCGAAGTACATTTGAAAAATTTGGGGCTAGAGTAAGCAACTGATTTTTCTACACTTTTGACCCCAAAGTTGACATAGCAGATCCAGTCAGAATCAAACTGAAGGATATTTCAAAGACTGCCTCAAATGCTCATCAACAGCAGGCATGACCTCACTGTGTTCTCTGAGAAAATAGAAGCTAGGTGGATTTTGACAGCAGGCAGTGCCGTAGGGCTTCCCAAGGGCATGCGCTGCTATAAGAGTCAATCTAGGCTAGCAGTAAAGCTTCAAAGATTATTCCACATAAATAAAGCAACCAAAAAAAAAAAAATTCATTTTCTTAATTTTCAGCGATTAGTGGGAGGGTTATAAATAGGTTCTTCTTTTCCTCTTTGTTTTTCCAAGAAGACACCATATGCAAGCAAGCGATAAACAGAAGAAGTTGCAGCCAAATAAGCCCATCGGATACAAACATAGATCGCAAACCTCTTAGTGAAATTCAAAATATGCATGATGATAGCCAGAGTACTGCGTCTGCCCAGGGAGGTTGGCAGTCAGCACAGCCAAATTCAAGTATGCAGGTGCAAAGTGGTACACAGGACGGGATAGCTCAGCGAAGAGAAAGACATAACCGCATGGAGAGAGACAGAAGGTAATTTCTATGAGGAGTGGCAAGACAAAGTTTTTGAAACCTAAAATACTAATACTGTAATACTGCTGTTCAGAGTAAAATGTAAGTTTGACGTATTTTGTTTTACCTACAAGAAAATACAATGCAGGAGGTGTGAGGGTTTGACATTCCTTAGAGGAAAAAACATGTATGTTTCATTGTTGTCGTCTTTGGTTTTTCACTCTGTAAACAGACAAAAAGAGAGATTTCAAAACATTTAACCAATTCTATAAAGATAACGTAATGTGTATAACATGTCTAATATACAAATACAAAGCTTGTAGCAAACAAAAAGAAGTTGCCAAAGTTCATGGCTTATAGCGCAGGTGAGTAGTCTGCCTTTTTTTGGTTTTTCCCTTCCTTCTCGCCTGTCGGTTGATAAACTTTTGTATTTGCCTGTAGGCGCAGAATCCGGATTTGTTGTGATGAGCTGAATCTTCTGGTTCCGTTCTGTACTGTTGATACTGATAAGGCAACAACTTTACAATGGACCACTTCGTTCCTGAAATACATTCAGGAAAGGCATGGCGATTCCCTGAAAAAGGTTTTAAATCTAATTTCATTTTTGTTCTTGATAAAAATGTGAAATGTTGTAAAGCTCTCAACATAGCTAAGAGTATACGGAATGCTTCTGCTTGATGCTATTTGTGAAGGACCTGTTTATCATTGAAAATTCCTTTTGATTTTTTTTTTAATAGCTGTCCTCACAACAGTTTCAGTTCAGTAGTGTGAAACCATAGGCTGTCCTCAGGGTTTTCAAGTCAGATTTTTTTTTTTTCTTTAAAAAGTTAGCCCAGTTCCTGAGTATGATACTATCAGGACAACAATATAGAATTGAAGTCCTCTTCAAGCATTTGTCCCTGCCCTCCCCACCTTAATTTTCTCGAACTGGTAGGTAAGTGCTGGGAGTCATACCTCCATGCCCACACTAGCTCAGAGGGGGTGAGAGCAGGGAAGGCTTCTGTGCCCTATAAGCAGCTCCCGTACAGCCGCAGGCGCAGCTGCAGCCCAGAGTAGGTCTGGCTCTGCTGAGGCTCTTGAGAGAGTAGATGGAGCGTGTACAGGAAAGCCTGCTTGGATAGATACCGGTACGGCTCCTCAGCACTTCCCGTTAAAGGTGTATTATTTTATTTGCCAAGACACAAGTGAAACAAAAAAATGTATCATCTCGAGTAAATATCTACATTAAACATAATTGTTATTTTTTGTATTTTGATTTTTAGGAATTTGAGACTCTGTTCTGTGGTAAAACAGGCAGGAGACTAAAAATAGCAAGATCAGACTCATTTGTAACGTGTCCAGTGCAGGAAAACACGCATGGCTATGGAGACCAAGTAGCCTGAACTGACCGCCTTGAACTGTACGACAAGTGTGGCTAACTAACAATGGCCCAAACTGTATTTGATTTTCTCCATTTACATGCTGAACATGAATTGCAAACTATAACTTGTAAAAGTATATAAATAGAGCTTTAAAGAAAACATTCTTTATTCAAAATGGACATGAAAGTTAACTATCAGCAATAGCAATCAGTGCTCTGTCAAAGGGGCTACAAGACAATGTGATGACAGCTAAGTATTTTTCCCCTTTAGTTATTAAAAAAAAAGTTCTTTTTCTGTTTGTGGTTCTGCTTTGGGGTGGGTTTTTTTTGTGTTGTTTTGTTTTGTTTTTTTTTTAAACGATCCAGTACAGTTTGGAATAGTTGTAGAACATCAATCTGTCCTGTTATTTTAATGACTAGATGCAAATGTATTTTTCAAATGTAAAAAGAAATTAGTTACCATATTCTAATGCCCATTTTTTCCATTAACAATGTAAAGGCTATATTGGTTAATTGAGTAAGTGCATAGTTTCTAAACTGTGCTGATATTATGAAGTTCATATTTGCCATATGTATTTTAACATGCTTTGCCCTGAAGAGTCAAGCAATGGTGTTAGCGTTTTTTTTAAATACAGTACCATTTTTAATGTCTATCACACAACAGGTGCAACAGGTTCTTATATTGTTATTTTAGTCCAAGAGTGGCATATTGTAAACAGTAGATTATTTAAATGCAGAAACTATTTTCATATTTAAAGACTAATATGACTCCTTTGTTCATAAGCTTTAGCATGTAGGGCAGAAATAGAATAGTGTGTGAGCTGAGAGTGGTTTTATTAATTTTTTAAAATAGATGATGCTAGCAGGTTTTAAAGTACAAAAAGATCTCCCAAAATAATACTGTTGTAAATCACGGATATGGACAATTTTCAGCAATTTATTTCCAAACAATCTTAGTAAAACCAGTTCTGGAAAATGGCGTTCGGCTGAGTTAGTTTCATGTGTATAATGACACTTACAACATCACAAAGAAAAGGTTAAAAAAAAAAATCTCCTTTTATTTTTACAACAGTTCATACAGGTGTTTTTGGCTGGACTTTGGAAGAGCATCCTTTCTTATTTGGGGTTTCATTCACAATTACTGTGCAAATAGCTTAAGTAGAGGTCGTGAAAATGCTGTTACTTAATGTCCTTTATTATCATATGGAAATATACAAAAATTCTCCCCTGTGAATTAAAATATATACATTACACCTTTTGCAGAATTTGATTGCGAGAGGATTACTATTTACTAGTCTTGGCAAATATTTGAGGTGCAATCTGAAAATTGATAATTGACAGCATATACATAAGCTATGGTTTTTACTTAGGTCAGAATCTTAAGATGCTAAAACATGGGATATTTAAATGCCTAATTTCCACTGATGTAAGTAGCAGTTAGGTGCTTGAATGCCTTAACAACATGTATCTTAGCTCACAGACCTGCCTAACTGAAGTCAGTGGGAGCAGCACCAAGGAATTCAACCAACAAGGCTCAAACATTTACGCAGAAAATTCATGATCTTAAGTACGGTTAGGGGGGGTGATGGTAAAAAGGAACAACGCTTCCTCTTGCAGGTCTCTTGAACAAAGGGAGAAAGGGAGGGTGAGGTTGTTTAGCAGTAAAAATTCTGGAAAATAACTGGGGGGAGGAAAAGTACTCATAAAGCATCTCGTAATTAAAGTTTTCATCTGATGCTTTCTTTTTCATAGAACTGTGTCAAAGTCTCCACTTAATACAATAGAGGGAACATCTGTCCATTTATCACTAGGAGGATTCTGTCTGTTTTCTTACAATGCACTGTTTATTTAAATATTCAGTCACTTCTCCGCTTCTTGTACTGTTGATTTATGATTTTTTGGAAGTTGATACTCCAACAGCTCCCATGCAAGCCGACGTGTCACATATGCCTGGAGTTCCCTGAGCCCCGATAGCACCAGGAGTACCGGGATCCCCTGGAAGACCGGGTTCACCCTGAGCACCATCCCGACCATTTTTAGTAATTCCAGGTACACCAGGTGGTCCTAAACAAGAAGGGGAGAAAGATTACATGAATTATTTCCTTCCCTTTTTTTAATGTATATATGTATTACTTTTAGATTTCTTAAAATACTTTGCGTGTCTGTACATCACAGTTGTTATGGCATGTTGAATACAAGGTGTTGAATAAATTTAGCCTGGATCTGGAGTATGCGCACTGGATTTTTTTAGAGTACCTTTGAATTTACTGGAATTACCTCCGTGTAGCTGAAGGCGGATGTTTAGTATTGCACTTTTCTTACTGCCCGTGTCCATTTTGACTTCTGCTGACCAGTGTAAAACTGGATTCCATCCCAATACCGCCTCAATTAGTGTATGACTCCATGAACAGTAACAATTAATTTGTAACCAGAATTATTTTACATCATCCCTGAATCGTTTGCTTAAGGGATGTCCTGGATGTGTAAGCTCACAGCTTACTTCTTGTGACAATACACATCCGTCCCTCCCTCCTGGCCGCCTGCTTGCTCCTTAGTGGGAGGCAGTGGCCTTCAGCTGCTCCAATTCATTGCACCTCCTTAAGGCTAGCTGCAATTAAGAACCTGAGCAAGGGAAGGAGAGTAGAGAGGATAATGATACAGAACATCTTCCTGATATTACAGACAGGGAGTTTTCTTTATACCTGTGTCTAATTTCAAAAATTGGCTCACGATGAAATACATAGTTTGTTTATTGGCAAAATTAATTTCTGCTTTGGGTGGACTCAAGCTATTGTTTTAATTTCTTTTTTTCCTTCAGATGCCAAAAATAATTCACAAAGCACTAATTTCTGTAAACAGCAAGCTACGGAAGCTTGCTAAAATACTGTAAAATATGATTCAGTCTCCTTGAGAAACAGCTATATGAGGTGGTCCATAAACCTCCATTTCTGTCTTAACAGATAGAGAGATGGTGCAGAGATGGCGCCTGGTTCTCTTTATTCATGTAACTGAGGAATTGCATTTACTATTGATCTCCTTACAGTTCATGAGTCGGACAAATGCTCTCAATATCTAATGTGAAACAGCCTCTTTTTACATGCTTTGGAAAACAAAACATTTATGGATTAAAGCAATTATGTTGTGGAAGAATCTTAAGACATCTGGGTATAAATATTCTGGGTTTATGAAATTATATGGATGCAGAGCCTGCTTTTGGTGCCTGTGATTTAATCATTCTGCAGATGTAATTGCAATGAGAAAAGCTGCTTTAATAGGTGAGCAAAATAAAGAATACTCTTCTGAGTTTCTAACAGATATTCATCAATTTGCATAAATTAATCCTTGAATCCACTGATAAAGGATTCAGGACTTCAAGAACTGGGATTATAGCCAGACACAGAGCAATAATACCGCTATACTCCTAAAATCATTATGCTAGGAAGTTATAGTTGTTTCTGGTAAAATGAAATATTGTCCCCTATTTCTCTTGTTTGACCCATAAACACGAATTTTGGAGGACTACAGCTGGTAGTCCAGATTGTAGCCTTCACTGTGGGTGTTCTGTAGACATAGCACCGAGAAGATGGCCACGGGGACGCGGGCAGCAGGCACCAGTCTTCTGCCTTAATCTGGAGCCAGCCCCGCGCAGGTGTTACACACCTTCAAATGAACCGACAGATGCAGTAACCAACTCCATCCTTAACGAGCAGCATGAAGTACCGCTGCAAAGAAGAACCTCCCGACACTGGCTGCCACGTGGGAGCAGTTAAGAAGTTTTCTGACTTCCCCATCTATAAAAACTCTGACCTTTCACAGCCATCAGTGGAAGAAACCAAGAACAAATGAGGGGTCTGGCTGTCCCGGCAGCCTTTTCTCAAAACCATTCTCCAAAACATTTAGGACTAGACAGGAGCGGTGTGAAGAGGGGATGTGCTAATTAAGTTCTGCTGTTCAAATTGTCTGCACCTGCTGTACCCACAGGAAAACAACCCTACTATAACCATGACAGGGACAAAATGATTGTAATGGACTGCCAACAATACACAGAGCTGTCCCTCTTAAGCCTTTACTTTAGTCCTGGTTTATTAAATTACTCGCACAGCTTTACCTTGAAGTCCTTGATCGCCGTCAGGCCCATCAATACCCTGACCAACCGGTCCTTTATCTCCCTTTTCGCCAGCGTCACCTTTAATCATAAATAGACAATTTCAACAGTGAGTTGTGTAGTGCAGGTGGCTCCAAGAACAGGATGGGGAAAGACCAAGAGGAACTCAAAATCCTCAGGACACTGCTAGGACCTTCGCTTACGCTGCACCCTAAAGATTCCAAACCGCCCTCTGGAACTGCGTCAGCTGCCCAAGGCCCCATCTTTTTTTCCTCCACTGCTGAAATTAGTACAAGTTTGCAATTTATTTCAGTGGGTGTAAACGAGAAGCGGGTCGGTTTGGTCTTACCTCTGGGACCAGGATCACCAAGTTCTCCTGTTGGCCCTCTGTATCCAGGCGGACCACGAGGACCAGGATGCCCAACACTTCCCATAGCTCCAGGAGGACCTGGGGGACCAGCTGGGCCGGGACGACCCGTCATTCCAGGAGACAAGGGCTTTCTCAGATTAGCAGCCAACTGTGCAATTTGATCTGAAAAGAACAATTAAAAACCGCGTGTTTGACATTTTCACTCTTTGCTTGGCTCTGTCGTCTGCCACCAAGTGTCCTTCATTGAGTGAGCAGCTGAAAACTGAGTGAACACAAAGCAGAGCTGCACTGCCGCTCCAACACCCTTCCCGCTTCTGCAGAAGGAAACTAAACGTTGACTCTGTCCTCTCAGCTCATCTCTGCCTTTTTTTTTTTTTTTTAATTTATTTCTTCTTTTAACATCTCCAGAGAGGAAGATTTGATCAGAAATCTGCAGGTTGCCCGTTTCCTAAACCACTCTAAAAAGATGTCAAGTCTTCTAGAAAATGATACTTCAATAATTAAAACAAGTAGCCTGAAACAATATTCCAGAGTTTAACTTCATCCC